GGGGGGGGGGGGGGGGTAACGATTTAGGAGCGACTCGTGAGTAATAGGACATGTATTATACAAAATAGAGTTGACTTTAAAATTTAAACCCTCGCGTAAACCGACGACGTGTGGTCATTTTCGCCGCGTAACTGTTTTATTTTTCTTTTTCCGCGACGTGAAAGTCGTCCTTTAGAACCACTTTCACGCTATATCTATCCCCTCGTGGATGTTCTGTTCGTTAAGTCGTGTTCGGTTCATTGACAATAGGACCGATAAGGACGCTGTGTCATCGATAACACGCGACTTCTTCGAATAACATCTGTTGTGTTACGTCAAGACCGGTGCATGCATAATTTGCGGAACATATTAAACGCGTTTCCTGGTTTCTTATCTGTCGCACGAACGATCTTGTTCTACGACTCGACGGGTTTTCACAGGACCACAAACTTTTGGGTAGACAGTCTCGTTTGCAGTGACACTGATCGAATACAGGGTCCTTGGGGCGGAAAATTTCGTCTCGAAATTTGCATTGGTACGTTTCATCTGTCCCATCGTGTAGTAATACACGACGGACTAGATTTGTTCGTAAAACGCTCGTATTTCGAGTATATTGGGGCAAAACAAATGACACAAATATGGGGTGCACAGTGTCTTAGGCTGGAATTATTGAAATAATTGAATTCTTCGAATAAAATTTTGCTCAACTATGTCGCAGAGTCGTTTAAAACCATCTAAACTGGAACCTTGCAAATACAAACATTCAAAGTTGTAGGTTACCCGCTGGTAAAAAAATGTAGACTTACTGACCAGTATTATCTTTCTCGGCGGGTTAATGCGACGTAACGTGTATAGGGGATGTTCGGGCAGGATCAGTGTTGGGACTCCGCGTGAGGAAAACAAAACAGATGCGACCCAGGGTACAACGAAAAAAGTGGAGCCGTTCCGAAATGCACGCGATCGATACGTATATATAATTTTACGCACAGGTCGGAGGAAACGAACGCTTTTCAATCGGTCAAAATTTTTATGTTCACTCTGATGTCTACGGTGTATACTATGTATATACAGGGTGTTTCAGCTGACTCGATTACCTCGAATAATGACTTAAGGGTATACTTAATGAAAATTTTGAGGCGAGGAACTTAAATGGCATGAAGGGATACATCTTACAAGGTTCGTGCTTTTCTTGTGGGTGGAGGCATTTCAGAGATTTCAAGGTCACCTAAAGGTAATTCCGTTAAAAAATATCAAGGTGACCTTCAAATCTCTGAAATGCCTCCACCCACAAAAAAACACCTGCCTTAAAGATGTGCTCCTTAATGCCATTTAAATCCCACGGCTAAAAATTTCTATAAAGTATATCCTTCAGTCATAATTCGAGGTGATCAAGTTAACCGAGACACCCTGTATATGTCCACGTATACCTATAAGACGCGTCGTAAGACGCGTCCGACGCACCTGACGGATCTCCGTTCGAACGTCGTACGAAAATTATTTTTCTTTGTGTCACTCATCCGTACCTATTGTTTACTTGTGTTTTCTTTTCTGGGCGTGACAACCGGTCGAGATCCGTACGCCGGATAAAAAAAAAACGGAACTTATTATTCGTTCGAATGGAGCCACGTGGGGGGGGGGGCGCGTAATTCGTATCGACTCGACGGTAAAAAGAGGATTCGTTCACCTCCCCTCTCCTGAAGCGCCCCGCACAAATGAACCGTTAAATCGTTCGACGAACCGTTCGCGAGTGTACACGGGAAGCGATCACGCGTGTCCCGACGAACGTGCATCATCGATTACACACATTGTTTAACGCGATCGACATCGCGGAGTCGGCCACCGGCGGGGCCGTGTGTACCTCCTCCCTCCCCCCCCTCCTCCCCGCCACTGGTATTCGTTGTGTGCACGGGCTTTTGTGTTTACTCTTCCCCACCTGTCCCACGACTGCGTCGAACGTTTCTGCACGGTTTGGGAAACAAACAAACAGAGAATCCGACGTAGGAACGAATTGCATTATCGACGATCTCTGCTGTAACTGGCAATGAATCTTGACGCGAATCTTGCAAGTTAATTGGTTGCAGTTATCGGTGGATTATACCGGTTAAGTTGCGATCCTCTCCCCGTCATCGTACCACTACGAATCATTTACTCCAGTTACGGGCTTGTTCGCTCATTCGTTCTCTCGAAGCGTTTCGCGACAACGGAGGAAAAATATACTGTCGTTGAACCGGATGCGTTGGTGGTATATGTATGTACACTGACGAGCAAACGCGGCTTCCACTAGGGGAAAAAGCAGCGTAGAAGAAAAGTCTTTTACAATTTAAATCGAATGTTAGTTTGGCATAAATTTCAGAAACATCTGAATTCAAATGGTAGAAGGCCCTTTCCCTGTGCCACTTTTTTCTCCTGGTTAACTCTTTCTAGAATAATATTCTCATTTTTCTTTAATCGTCGGACCTGGTCCCATATTTTTGGCGGTCAGTTTTATGAGTTATACGAGGCAGTGACGAATCGTATCGACGTACGATCCTATTTTTCGATCAGCGATATCGCATCGGCGCGCGCGTTATGGAATCCCTGGCTTCTTGCCACCATCCCGAACTATTTGCTTAGGCGTGTCTCTTGCCCCGGACAGTTTAGACTGGTAAACGCTCCTCCGGCAATCAGCCACCCGCTCCCGCGTGGTCGGAGTTCCACGCGTTTGGTATTGCGTGGGTTTCCATACAGTATGTACACCCATGAACAAACTCTGCTTCCACTAGGTTAGGGAAAGGACTTTCTACCACTTGGTATTAGGAATTATTGAAATTTTGTACGGGCGTGATACCAGCCTCCACTTCGTGTCGTGCGTTCGTTTTCTCAAATGATCGCGTTGTACGCGTGTGTATGTCGATTAACGTCTTCTAGAAAGATAATTGTTTACAATTGTTATACAAGGTGTAACAAAAATGTTGGAGGACCCGGAAATGGGAGACTTATGAGGTGATTTGAAATAATATTTTCCTTAAGAGTACGTCCAATATTCCACCGTTTTATTTGAGATTTTCCCGCGCGTTGAGTCTTCGAGAACAGTCAAAACTACGTTCCTTCGAACGAAGAGATTTCTTACTCGGGGGTTCTCGCTTTGTGGAGACAGCTAAATCGCGTAAAGTTTACGCACGAATGGGAATCGAACTTACCCCCGCGTCTTTGAACTTCTATAAGTTTATACTAGGTTCCCAGACGCCATTAACGGATTACAATGTTAATGGAATTCGATCGGAATCGACGCCGATGTCGGTTCACCCTTCGCCCCGACGATAAAGTATCGCGTTACACAGGATCTATCCCACGTAATCCATCTCGTTTCCCTCTTTTCCACGTTTCTCGTTAACGAACGCACGGCCCAGCCGGTTTTCTCGCCGATTATTCGCAGCTATCTGCGATTTATTGTTCACGAAAATTCCATCGAGTTGATACGTATTACCTGAATGAAACTGTTCCTGGGTTTTCGACTGTCCGACTGTAAAAACAGTGTCGTTGCCCTTATTAATTTAATAGTATTTAATTAAGAATTTGATATACAGTGTTTACTTTTA